ATCTATTACCGTCCCTGTTTTGATTTCAGCAAATCAGTTCGAGCAAACGCTGACAACATGATTAATATTCATGAACCCAGCAGATGATAATAGTAGTAGTAGTAGTAGTATCTTTTAATCATAAGTTGCTACGGTATTGCCTCCGGTCAGTTATTTCGGACGTGCAAGACCGAGTCCTATCTACTTGAATGTGGAAACACTGAAATCTCAAAAACTGCTTGATACACCTCCAATTAATTAAATAACATATCTCAAACCAGCAACAAAATCTGACATGAATTGTCCCACAAATATGGTTTCTTAAGCTCAAATATCGTTCAAATCTAATATTCTAGACTACAGTGAACCAGCCAATATGTGCCGCGTCTTAAGCCTGGAATACACTACATGACTTTTAAAATATGAAAAGATTTTTAAAACACTAGGCACTTCCGTTTGGAATTCGCCCATTCACATATTGTTTTAATTTTTCATGCGTCTCCTAGCAACACTTGAACGTCTGGTAGTGTGTGATTCCCAGTGATGTAATGTATGATGGCCAGTTTTCCTTTGTCACTATTTACAAAGTCGGTAAGTGTATGATGCATAGTGTTTTAAAATCGTCTTGCTGGAGCGAGGTAAGTAAAAATAAGCGGACTGTGATGACACGTTTAACAGTCATCAGCATCGTAAATCCTCGAAAGTTTTTCATATTTGTATTTTTAAAAAATGTATGTACATTTATAACACTATTCTTTGTATTATATCATCTTTGCATCAAATTACAAAAAAAACAACAACAAAAAACAGTTAATGCTAATGCAAGGGTGTTTCTAATGCAGCGTCTATGGGAGAGATGGTAAATTTGACATCGTTCTCTCTTCTGACTGCCGTTATCAGTCTCTCTCAATTTTTTTCCTTTTATTGAAAGTCATGAAAACACTATCGTGTTGTTTTTCTTTTGCTATTTGAGCAAGTGGGAATGCAAAAAATATATTTGTGGTGCTCTCCCATTCACTGCTCTTCAAGTTAACCCACTGAGAAACCCGGAAATGTGAAAAAGGCTCTCAATTAGAGCCCCAATAGTATCCAGCTGCAGACCCGCAGCTACAGAACCGGAAGTGAGGGGCGAAGCTTACGTTTTTAACAGAGTAGCGCCACCTTACGGTTTTTAAGGGGTAATCTGCTTTCATTACACACGATACGTCATACTTTATGTATGTATGCATTTTATAATGATATATTAAGCATTTTATAAACATTAATCTTGTGTAATTTAGTTGTAGGCCTATACAGTTAATCGTTTCATTGTATTATGCAAGTTATTTCATGTTTGTGATATTAAAAATAATGTTTGAAACTTCTGGGCATTTTATATGAAATATACTTAAATCACAAGATTCAAAATAAATGTTTACTGCAAAGTCAAGAACATGTGCATCATACATTTTTCTATATGAAAACTAAAACATTTCAATAAAACACACACACACACACAAACAGCAGCATAATTTTAAAAGTAACAATCAAAATGTACACAATAATTAAATTGAAGTTTATAAAATGAACAATTCACTATTAAGCCCATTTTGTCATGACAATCCTGCATGAAAATGTACAAAATGAATGAATCACTCTTGGGCACATTTTGTCTCCTGCATGAAAACTTACAAAATGAACAATTCACTCTTGGGCACATTTTGTCGTGACAATCTTGCATGAATTCAAATTAAAATGTATCAAATGAACAATTCACTCTTAGGCCCATTTTGTTATGACAATCCTACAAAAATAACTCCCCTGAACACAAGATGAAATATGAAGGGCACTCTGGATCTGATTGTTCCAGGAGATTGTTGAGGGCCTTTTCCTTGTCCTCTTACTCCATTATAAGGAAAAGAGGCTCTTCCACATGGCCTCCTGAGCAGATGTCTGTTGTAATGGAGCCATTTCACAACTTCTGTGAGATTACTGGGATCTCCTTCATTACAGAATATTAAAGGAAAATGTAACTTTAATATTTCTTATTAATGTATGCATATATAATAGATATAGATAGATACAGACAGATAGATAGATAGATTTCTTTAAATATCAACTGTTACAACATCATAAAGGTCAATTACTTTAACTGATAACTACTTACAGATGTAAAATCAAAGGGTGCTCCAAAGACGAGATGTACTGGAAAACAACAAAAAATAAGAATATTCTCAAATGGCACAAAAAAACTTCCTTGTTCCTTATTTAACAACTAAATAATCACATCAATAACTGGTTGCAAAAATGTATAGTAGCCTAAAATAAATAAATAAGTACACAGGTAAACTATTATGCAATAATAAATTGTGAGTACAT